GAGAAAACGGGTTGTAATTTATTTTATTTTTTAATAACCGCGCGTAAATAATAATAATGATAATAATAATATTAATAATAATTATAGGGGTTCGTTAATAATTTAAAGTCGTTTTTTTTTAATTTTAATTTTAATTTTAATTTTATTAATATTCGAAAGGTTTTTTTTTTTTCGAACGAGTTAAATGGAAAAAATTAAAGAAATTTTTTTTTGTTGTTTTGAAGTTTAAATTAGTTTTTGAAAAAAAAAAAAAATTTCCATTCGCAATTAGTTATGAAAAATAATTAAGATAACTAAGATTAATATTTAAGAATTCATAACTCACACACATTGATAAATTACACGCGATGATTTTGCTTTTCCTTTGTAAGGGGGAGGGAAAAGTTTTGTTGTTGGTATTGTTTTTTTGTGTGTAAAAGTTTGATTTTTCTTTTTTGGTTTTTTTTTTTTTTGCGGGGGGAGGGAGATTTGAAAGGAAAAACAAATAATAATGATAATGTTTTAATGTATTTAAATAATAAGTATGCTATTGGGGTAAAAATTATTCCCCCGATTTGGATTACACGGAAATGCAAGTTGTAGAGTAAGAAAATTTTTCCTTTTTCCTTTTTTTTTTATTTTTATATCCGTTTATTACTTGAGTTGCAGACGATGGAAAAAAAAAAAAAAAAAAAATTAAGTAAAAGGTTTAAGTGAAAGAAAAACTCGAGGCAATTTTTTTTTTTTTTAAAATGAATTTGACACGGGGAACCCGTGATTAACGTGGTGTATCGTCGTGTAATTTGAATCCATTGGAAAAATAATTAAGTTAAATTATTATTAAAAGATAATTTTCTTTTTTTTTTTTTTTCTTACTACTATTCATGATCGATCGTCTTGTTTTGATTGCGTGAAATTAAAAGAAATTGTAAGGGCAGAATTTAATAAGAGAGTTTTTTTTTTTTTTTATACATTTTATTTAATAATAAATTTAAAATAAAAAAAAAAAAAATAATTAAAAAAAGATAATAATAATTTAAAGAGCAAAAGGATGTGTGATAAAAAAAGAAGGAGAAACAATGGGGGGGGGAATCACGTTTTATTTAAAATGTGAAAAGAATTTAGAATGGAATTTAGTTTTTTTTTTTTTTTTTTTTTAAATAAATTAGTTTACTGTTAATAATTTAAATACAAAAAAAAAAAAAAATTAATTAAAACTTTTTTTTTTTGGTTACAAGTAATTTATATAAGCGGGATAAAAAGAAAATTTTAAAAATGGTTGATGACGACTTGTATTATTTTATTTAAAAAAAAAAAAAAAAATTTAAATTTTTTAAAACAATGAGAAATGAGAAACTATATACGATGCTTACGATAGTAGTTGAATAAAACTTTTATTTTTTATTTTTTTTTTCTAAATAACTCAAAGATATTTATTTTATTTAGATTTTGAGAAATGAAAATTACACGCTTAAAAAATAAGAGAGGAAAAAGGTGTGGGAAAAGTTTTTTACAAGTCATATACATTTAAAATAAAATTTTTTTTTTTTTTAAAGAAGAAACTACTATTGACTTATCAATTAAAGTAAATAAAAATTCAAATAGAACAAAAGAAATAATAATGAAAAATTTACATAAATTCAAATTTAAATTTAATATAAATGTGCGACGAGTACAAAAGAAAAGCGGAAAATTTAAAAAAACGACTTTTAATTCTAGCCGAAAAAAAGCCTTTTTCTCGGTTTAAAAAATAATTTTGAGGAAGTACCAAATCAATTAAAACCTTCACGTCGGTTTTTTCTTTCATACTAGATTCTGAGTATACATATATATATATATATATATATATATATATATATATATATATATATATATAAATTATATTTATTACATTATATTACTTCCTTTATTATTATTATTATCTTTTATACGTACCTACACAAGTTTTTTTTTTTTTTTAATTGACTTTAAAAACGTTTTATCCGTTTCATTAAAAATAAAAATTAATAATAAAAATATTTGCGGCTTAAATATTTTACGATTCGACCGTAAAAGAAAAGAAAAGAAAAAGCAGTAGGGGAATTATTATTATTATTATTATTATTATTATTTTTTTTTTTACGCGTAATCTATTGATTTTACAGTAAATAGCCAATTATTGATTTTTTTTTTTTTTTTTTTAAATTGATTTTTGATTCGCCATTTTAATTAATTTATATTTACTTTTGGCAGGGTCTTTTAATATAATTTTTTCTCCAAAAAAAAAAAAAAAAAAAGTAAGTCAGTAATTAAAATTTTTATTATAATTCAAAGGAAAATAATTTTTTATATGAATTGAAATTAAATCAAATACTTCGGGGCATAAATTCAATTGGAAAGCGTACCGGTAATATTTTCGAAAACCAAAACAAATAAAATTAATTAGGAAATGTATGGCGTGCTCATATACGTTTTACACACACGCACACACACGAAAATATATTTTACTAGAAAAGTTACTCACTGTTTCGCACTAATTATTCAAAGAGAATTAACCTAAAAAAAAAAAAAAAATGGAAAAAGGTCGTTCAAACCTTTTCAAAGAATGATTTCGATCATGTTTATCTCAACGGTAACGTTAATTAGTGTTTTTGTTAATAATAATTTAGTTTTTTCATTTTGTGACGATTAGTATAGATTGTGTATGAAAACTAATTTTTTGACGTAAATAATCCCTAGATTTCCTTCTCCGTTTTAATATTATTTGTTTTTTTTTTAATGTTTTCAAACATTACGACGTGGTTTTTTTTTAACCCGAAATCATCCGGATATATGTTAAAATCTGAGTCATTAGGTTACTTTCCTCGAGCGCACATTATTATTGTTTAACTAGTTTGTTTGGTTTTTTTTTTATAAAAAAACAAACATTTATTTTTCTAATGCGAATCGCTAATACGACAATTAATGAACATGTTAAAATTGTAAAAAAAAAAAAAAAATAAAAAGAATTCGTAAAAGCGTTACCGCAAAATGTTTGCGTTTTCAATATATTGACGATTGAATTGTTTGTTTGCATTGTATAGTTTGTTTTTTAAATCTCGTAAAATTCGTTTTTTTTATAAAAAAAAGATTTCAAAAATATTTGGCGCGAATATTGATATCCCATACTCTTGGCATTCCTTTTTCGTCATTAAAATGACGTAATACATAATAATTATGATTAGTCACAAAATTTTAGTATTCTTAATACTACGAGGGAGAAAAAGTGATTCAGAATGAAAATGTTTGAATTTTTTTTTTTTTTTTGGATTTTCTGTTTATAAAATTTTTTATGTTATTATTTTTTTTTTTTTTGTGGAAAGCAAAAAGACAATTATTACTGTGACGCAAAGGTCATAATTTAGGCTCGGTTTACGTATCAGATTCGGTTGAATCATTGTTGTTTATGAATGAACAATAATAATAATAATAATAATAAAACGATGAAACAATGAAAGTTTTAAATTTTTTTTTAATTATCTTTTTTATTGCAAAAAAAAAAAAAAAAACCTAATAGCGATACCTGATTTATAAAATGCTTTGTATTCTCTCTCTCTTTCTATTTTTTTTGTAGGTTTAAGGGTTAAAGGTTGATTGTTTGGATCTTGGGGCAGATGTAAAACAAACAAACAAAACCAGGTGTCCATCGCATGAAGGAATTTTTTTTTTTTTTTTTTTTGTAATACCCTAAAGGTTCTTTATTTGATTATTGTTCGAGTGTTTCAACTTGGAAAACATCATGAACAAAAACCAATCAATTAATTTATTTAATAATTATTATTATTATTTTACTCATTTGCAACGAAACAATTTTTTTTTCAAAAGGATTTAATTAATTAATTAACATTTTAATACAACTTAAATCGAAGAAAAGATGAAAAAAAAAAAAAAATTTAAGTTGCAAAGAAATTTTTTCCCATTTTGATTAATTTTATTGATTTCATTTGAAATAATAAATCGATTAAAATAATTTATTTTTAATTATAATTTATTAACGACGATTATTTATTTATTTGTTGGCGCTTGTCTCAGTTGAATAGTTGTGGTAACTAGATTAATTGTAAATCTATTGGAATAGTCAGTCAGATGGGAAGAATGAAGTTTCCACATCGAACAAGAAGAATATTATTTAATATATAAACGTTTTACTATTATTATTATTATTATTATTATTGTTTATTTCTTTTACGAATGTGATTAGCTTACTAATTTATTCCCATTTGAAAATTCGTTGGGCAAAGGGGTCATTGATCATGTACATCCGGCAAATTGAATTTAATTTTAATAAAAAAAAAAAAAAAAAGCGTGGACTATACGAAAAGAAAAGAAAAAAAAAAAAAAAATTTCTCTACGGTGTAATAATAAAATTGTAATATAAAAAAAACCGACATTGATTTTTTTTTTTTTTTAATTGTACGAAACGAATCGTCCGATTGCCCCCAGGGAAAAAAGGATTTAAAATTAAACGTTATTATTTCTCATATTTGACAGTTAGTTGGAAGGTCAAGGAGGTATTAATTATCAATGTATCAGGTATTAACTTGATGTAGGCTAACGATATATAAAAATATATATTTTTTATTTATTTACTCTTTTCAATTCGTTTACGATTATAAATAAATTGTTGACATATTTCGAAATAATTATAATAATGATGTTTTTTTTTCTCTAATTATTTTCAGGTTTTTTCAAATGAATAAAAAAAAATTTTTTTTTTTAACAATGTGAAAAAGGAATACGAAAATATTGGAAAATGTGCACACATTATATTATAATAATATAATGTTGAGAAAAAGGTTTTAAAACGTAACGTAATTATTACGAAAAATGAAACATGTTTAAAAGTGGAAAATATCACAAGAGAAAAAAGAAAATATTTGAATTAATCGTATGTAAAAATATTAAACACTGAGAGAAAAATTTTAGAAAAAAAAAAAAAAAAAAAAATACATTTCGAAATAACAAGATAAAAAAAAAAGGAGAAAAAAAAAAAAAGGGTAAAAATGCCTTCGAAAAAGCAATACGATTTAGTGCAAAATGACGAAAACGACACGAGAATTCCACTTCATCCAGAGGAAGCATTCCAACACGGAATTACATTTCAAGCAAAGGTAAGAATTATTTATTTATTTATTTATTTATGTGTCGCGTTTTTTTTCTTTGGGGTCATTCATTATTTTGATCTTTTTTTTTTAAAAAAAAATTCGTTAATGAAATTTCACGTTCGTTAAATTATCAAAAAGTGAAAAATTTGTGTGTTGTGTCGCCGTGAAAATTCGTGTTAATTATATAATAATAATAATAATAATAATGCTTAGTCGAAATTTAAATGATATCCGTATTTACGTTTTCCTCCGTTGATTGTATAATTTATAGTTTCATAAATGTAATTTTATCACTACGAAAAACTGGAGTTTAGTTTAATAAAAAAATAATTTTCGTTTAACAAAAGTAACGTACGTGTAATAAAATGTAGATGTATTACGTAATATTTTATATTTTATTCTCGCACTCGTAATTTATTTTTAGTTTTTTTTTTTTTTCTTTTTTTTTTTATTCCCGCATTTGATTAATCTACCTTTTTATTTACGAAAAAAAAGGCGTGTGTGTGTGTGTGTGTGAAAAAGGTATGAAAAGAATGGGTTGGAAAAAATTTTTTCGCATCGTTTTTATAAAAAATCCGATACCGGTTGTACTATATAAAAATAATGCGATTTTTTTTTTTTTTTAATAATTTTTTACGGTTCAAATGATTGGTTGTTCATTTTTTTTTTACAAGATTATTTAGTAATTGTTGCTAACGTGAAAGTATAAGGTACAGGTGCAGGTTTAAATTTAGGCAATGATAATTAATCGAAAGGGATTAGAAAAAAAATTTTGAATACTATTTATGTTATCCGGATGTTGACGATTATTAATAAAAAATCACAGCTCGAGCTTCGGGTTTGCTCCCCCCCCCCCGTAAAAATAGAAAAAAAATTTTTGTTTTGTAAGTGCGTGTCATAATTTCGTTTCGTGCGCGTCGTGAGTAATTATTATTATTATTATTATTATTATTATTTTTTTTTTTTTTTTCGTGAAAATGCACGTGATATCATATAAACAATTTGGAATTAATGGATGGATTTTTTCTTATAAAATTTTCTTTGTGATTCGAAACAAAAAAAAAATTTTTTTCTAATTCGATCTCCATCAATAAAATGATAAAATAATAATAATAATAATAAAATTTGTGGGTGGTGCGTATTTATAATAAATATTTAATTTATTTATTTCGAACGGGAATAAAAAAACAAAAATGGAAAAAAAAAAAAATTTCCATTCCATAGAAAAATCAATTTTCGATGACATAAACTCATTTAATTACAAATGACCTAATGCATTATTATTACCTTGAATGCATCACGAAATGCAGTCGGTTATTAAAACCCGACCAAGGTTTAAAAAAATAGAAAAAAAGACGATGACGATGATGATGACGATGACGATGATGATGATAATGACTTAAACTAGTTTAGTTTAGTTTAAGAAAAGAATTTCAAATATTCATCATTATTATTAATACAAAAGGTTTATAACCGTATGCATTTTTTTCCTTTTTTTTTTTTTTTTTCTATACGTGTTTGTTCTTGTTTGTCATCTTTGTTGTTCTTCTCCTTATTTTTATTTTTTTTTTACTGACGGTTTCAGACTTTGGGTTGTTTGTTATTATTCGGCTTTTAATAATTCTTTTGACTCGTTTTAATTTTGTGATTTAATAATAAGAGTAGTAAAAAGAATACTAATGTATAAAATGATTGCGTTCGAGAATAAATTACGCGAGATTGTGTGCACGCGTGAGAAAAACAAAAGGAAAAAGTGAATGAATGAATGAATGAATGAGTTACACGAACGGGGATTATAAAATGTTAGAAATCTCAGGAATGAATGAAATGAACAACGAGGGCGCGCCGTAGTAGTAACGTTAAGAAAAAAAAAAAGAAAATGGAGGGCTGGAAATTCAAAAGAAAAATAAATTCAAAGAAATTTTTAAAAAGAAATCAAAGTCGAGGAAATGATGTATATGAGAAAGTGGAATGACTGACTATAAATGGTTTAGAGGAAAAAAATTTTTTTGTATTTCGAATCAATTTGAGATCGCATTTAAAATTTCTCGTAATTTATTTTTAAAAAAAAAAAAAAAAAAAAGTCGTTTAATAAAGCTTTGATTTTAAATTTTCGAAAAAAGGAATGAAAAAAATTACAATTTAAACTTTGGAGAAGAAAGAGAGGGGGGGGGGGTAGGGAGAGAAAGAAAGAAAGAAAAAAATGAAGGTTTTTAAGTTCGATTTGTAGTAGAACGTTAAAAAAAAGGGAGTAAAAACTTTTGACGAGTTGTCGTGGGATTAGATAAAATTAATTTTTTTTTTTTTTTGAATGCATTAAACTTTTTCACTTTTTTTTTGCATTTTTGCACTAATGGTGAAAAATGTATTTTTTTTATTTTATTTTTTTTTTAAATTTTTTAGACAACAAAATTAACTTTAAAAAAAAAAAAAAAAAAAAAAAAAAAAACAGAAAAAAAATGTATTTGGAAAAAATTCCCAAGCTTGACGTAAATTACACCTCACCTCGTTTTAAAGTTAATATTTATTTATTTTTTTTTTTTTTTGTGAATAAACTTTGGTTGACGTAAATTCTTTTTTTTTTTTTTTAAACGAAAACGTTCATGCGTGAGTTAATCAATGTGACTGTTAAGTTCCAGTAAAACATGATGAAATTAGCACATACGCCTACACATTATATTTAAAAAGTATATTCCGGAGAAAAAAAAAAAAATTTTTTTTTGCTTTTTTTATGTGTTAACTGTATTGATTTAAACGTGAGTAAGTAACAATGACGACAAAACTCTGGAAAATCTTATCGTTCGAATGTTAATACCGTTTTTTTTTAAAAAATATTTGTTTCAACGTGCACAAAGACACTTAAAGAAGTTTACGTTTTTCTTTAAAGTTTTTATTTTGAGTAAATAAAGGAAAGGCGTTGAAAAAAATTAACTTGGGTTTTTTTTTTTAAAAATTCACTTTAAATGTAATAGCTCGTCGTGAAAATTTTTCAAAATGGGGTAAAAGGTTCGTTGATGAGACGTTGTTGCAGGGGAAAATGGCTGACACGTTATTATTAAACACACGAAAAGAGCTTCGACCGATTTGAAACTCTTTGACTTAAGAAGTTTATTAAACGGTTAATTTATTTTACGATAAAATTTATTGTTGGAAGTACCAACAAGTACTTTAAGGTCTCACAAGGTTTTGTCAGTTTTTTTCTTTCAATTTCTCTTGTTTGTGAGACTGGGAATGTGAGACCGATGATGGAGTCTTTGAATGGCCGCCTTAATTTAATATGAAAATAATTCTCGGTTTAGTAGTAGTATCGGTTCGTGTTTTTTTTTTTTTATCCTTATGATGTTATTTCAAGAGACTTGTTGTTCAAGACTTGCGTCGTCGAATCGTTTTGAATTTTTTTTTTTAAATAAAACTAATAAGGGTATTGAACCGGTTTTTTTTTTCCCATAGATTATTATTGTTTTGTGTCAATGTAAAAACTTTGATAAATTTTAACAAAGGAAAAAAAAAAGGAAAGAAATAGAGAAAAGAAAGGGAAGGGAGCGAGTTTTTATTTATTTATTTTTTTTCAAAAAAAAACATTTTTTTCGTGTTGTACGTTGTTATTATCATCATTATTTTTTGTTTCTTTTTTTTTCTCGGTAAAATATATGCTAAATATAGCGTTGAATTATAAGTAGAAAAGTTAAAAGGAAAATGAAGGACGTTTTTAAAAAAAAAAAAAAAAAAAAAAAAAAATAACAAAACGGACTTTTTTTTATACCGGAAATCGTGTGTTAAACATTTTTCGTTTTTATCTCGGAAAATTATTTTGAATAATAGTTTTTCCTTTTTCTCTTTTTTTTTTTTTTTTATTTGCTGGCGATGGTTTAGCCTTTAATCAAATTAAAAAAAATATAAATTTTTTTTTTTTTTGAGCGCGCCCGCGAGGGGGAGGTGAATTCACAAAAAAAAAAAGAAGGAAAATTCTAAATTTTAACCCTTAATAATAATAATTAATACAATGTTGTGCTTGTCCGTTATTTTTTTTTCAATTTTTATATATATTCACGCGGTGTAAATTTTAATTAACCAAAAAATTTTGGTTTTACGTTGGTTTGTAAATGAATGACGACGCGCCACGTGGGTGCTCGTAGCGATGATGATTTTTAATTATATCGGATTATAATAATTCGCGATGATTTGTCGCTTGACCGCGTTAATATTTAAAAAAAAATATATATACAATAATAATAATAAAAATCCGGGGAAAAGTGGATACGTTTATGATAATTACGATGGCGAAAAGATTTACGACTCGTACAGGTTTATCATCATCATCATCATCATCATCATCATCATCATTACGTAACAAAATGCGAATTAAAAGTTAAAGGGGGGAGAAAATGAAGTTAATCTCATGAAATTTTTTTTTTTTTTTTTGAAATAGTTTTTAATCGTTTCATTGCCAAGGCTCGGCGGAGGCTCGGCTCGGCGTAAATAAATTATTGGGTAGTTTCCTTTTTTTAAAAATTTTAATTAGGATGATTTTACCAATGCAATGAAAATCGTTTAACGGAATGAATTTTAAAATGGGGTCAGTTTGTTTTGTTTAAATTAAAAAGTTTGAATGTTAAATTCATTTGCATTTTAAATATATAGAATTTCCTCCTTTTTTTTTGTATTCGTCCGTGAAAACGCGGCGCAATTCGTAAGTCGAATGCGTTTGACAAGCTTAGAAAAAGGTTCGTTAAAGGCTTCTATTCGTATTGGCAATAATAAATGATCATTTGCTTTTTTTTGTTGTCCATCGTTGACTTTGAAAGGTTTTTTTATTCTTTTCGATAAATAATTAGTGGGAATGCAAAAGGGCAATTAAAAAAAAAGGGGGGGAGGGAGGGAAATGGATAAAGGAAAATTATAAAATAATTATTTTTATAACTTATCATTAGGATTATTATTATTATACTTATTATTATAGTTGTTGTTATTATTATTGATTATTATTATTATGGATGAATCAATAAATCGTCGTAATACGTTCACAAGAACAACCTTCGAATAAATAAGTGGTGATGATATCAATACGTCGCGCGTTTCATTATCATAAAAAAAAAAAAAAAGAAAAAAAAAAAATTTTATTTATTTATTTATTTGTTTCCACGAAAGAAACGATGGCACACAAGACACAACAATCTGAATTCGAATCGAACGTGGAGTAGTTAAGAAAAAAAAAAATTAAATGAAAAACCTCGGAAAAGTTTAACTAAAACGATTATTTATTGACTAAACAAAAAAAAAAAAAAAAAAATTTAAAAAATAATTAATTAATTAATTGTG